TTATGCTAGTCTGAGTCAATGTCTGTTGCTTGCAACTACATCATTAGTTTTTGATGTAGTGTTCCATGATTCATTGTTTGTGCATAACACCCAGTGCTCCACGCAGAACATGCCCTCTTTAATACCCTGGATGGGAAGTTCTTAAAAGCTTTTCCTCTAAAAAGAAAGATTTAGGGTGTCTGGCTGGTTCAGTTGGTTAAGCGTCTGCCTTCAGCTAGGTCATGATCCCAGGGTCCGGGATCGAGCTCCGGGGATTGAACCCTGCATCTGGCTCCCTGCTCAGTGGGAAACCTGCTTTTACCTCTCCTTCTGCCGCTCCCCCTGCTCGTGCTTGTGTGCTCTCTCCCTCTCAAAGAAATAAATAAAATCTTAAAAAAGAAAAGAGAAGGATTTAAGGTACGAAAGGATCCAGAACAAAGAAGATAGCATTGACAGGTAGGGAGACAGGTCAGAGATGGAAACTAGGGTGGGGAGGACAGGGGGTTTTCTAGGTAGCCCCAACTGCTCTAAGACCTTGGCAAAGCATTGTTAGGGTGAGGTGGTCCCTTCGGGGGCCCCATTTGTCAGACTCAGGTGAAATTCAGAGACATCTCATAGAACGGGTTAACATAAGATTTATTGTGTAGATAGTAAAGTTCAAGCTGAGGGTCAGGGAGAGAAGAAAATGCGCAGGTCCCCCATCCCACCATTATCCCTCAGAAAGGAATGAGGGCACGAGTGATTTACTGGACTCACAGTGTAGGCTGTGTTCCAGTGGAGGGATCCCACACCTATTACTCTCCCTTCTTATGGGGGAGCATGTGAAAGCAGCCTCATCAAGGAAGGGAAGCGACAAACTGCCCGGGCACCAGGCAGAAGGGATTGGGGATGCCTGTGGTTCACAGGAGTTGTCTGGGCACTCTACCTGCCTTTGGGGACACTGGGAACCATGAGAAGGTACAGCCTCTTCTCCTGCGGAGAGGGCCCCTGGTCTCATGGAAACTAAGAAGGAGGCACGCCCCCTCCATGACCCAGCTGGCTCAATGCCCAGGCAACCCTGTGAGAACTTTTGGGGGCCACTTTTGGACAACTGTGTACATTGCAGGACTTTTCTTTGAGCATCATGTATACAATGGCATGGGTGCACATGACAGCTGCAGAAGTTGATTTGTATATTTAGTAAAACAATTTTCCAGTTTAATAAATATACAAATCTAAGAGGGAGGCACCTTTTTATAATTTACACAAAAATACTCTGTGGCCTAATGGCAGCCTGGGTGGATGAACATTTGCAGAAATTGAGTAGGGTAGGAGTTATCACTAGGGGTCTCTTGGGAATCTGTGTGCACTCTTCCTAAAAATTCAGGGAGCCTTTTTTTTTTTTCCGCCAGCATAAACACCAAATGCTGCCTCCCTCCTGCCGCTGATGGTGACACATGACTTTGTTGAGACCCTGCTACATGCGGGGCATTTCACATACTACAGAGATGATGCCAACAGGGCCCCTGCTCTCTGGAGCTCCCAGTCTAACAGGGGAGGGAGTGAGGACATGGCCAGCCTGGCACTGGAATCCTGACTGATGCACCCGGGGAGGCAGCCAGGTGGGTGCTGGACGCACCTGCCTTGTCTAACTGGGTATGAGTCCTCTGGGCCTGTGGCCTGGGTCCAGGTTTCTAGGACCACCCAACCTCATAGTGCAGGGAGGGAGGACTGTAAAAAGACGACTGGAACCAGCCTTACCTATAGGCAGTGTCTCCATGTTTTCATTGAAGGGAATCTGGGACATTCCCTCCCCCCAAAAATCTTATATTTTTTCTCTACATGTGCCACCAACCCACGGTTGGTGTTTATTTGAAGTTGTTAAGTGTTGTCTTTCCCAGATATGCACATTTCCTTGGGAGAAGAAGTTAACCCGAAACTTCAGTGTGGATGGGAAGTTCTTTTTTTTCAATTTTTATTGTTATGTTAATCACCATACATTACATCATTAGTTTTTGATGTAGTGTTCCATGATTCATTGTTTGTGCATAACACCCAGTGCTCCACGCAGAACATGCCCTCTTTAATACCCTGGATGGGAAGTTCTTAAAAGCTTTTCCTCTAAAAAGAAAGATTTAGGGTGTCTGGCTGGTTCAGTTGGTTAAGCGTCTGCCTTCAGCTAGGTCATGATCCCAGGGTCCGGGATCGAGCTCCGGGGATTGAACCCTGCATCTGGCTCCCTGCTCAGTGGGAAACCTGCTTTTACCTCTCCTTCTGCCGCTCCCCCTGCTCGTGCTTGTGTGCTCTCTCCCTCTCAAAGAAATAAATAAAATCTTAAAAAAGAAAAGAGAAGGATTTAAGGTACGAAAGGATCCAGAACAAAGAAGATAGCATTGACAGGTAGGGAGACAGGTCAGAGATGGAAACTAGGGTGGGGAGGACAGGGGGTTTTCTAGGTAGCCCCAACTGCTCTAAGACCTTGGCAAAGCATTGTTAGGGTGAGGTGGTCCCTTCGGGGGCCCCATTTGTCAGACTCAGGTGAAATTCAGAGACATCTCATAGAACGGGTTAACATAAGATTTATTGTGTAGATAGTAAAGTTCAAGCTGAGGGTCAGGGAGAGAAGAAAATGCGCAGGTCCCCCATCCCACCATTATCCCTCAGAAAGGAATGAGGGCACGAGTGATTTACTGGACTCACAGTGTAGGCTGTGTTCCAGTGGAGGGATCCCACACCTATTACTCTCCCTTCTTATGGGGGAGCATGTGAAAGCAGCCTCATCAAGGAAGGGAAGCGACAAACTGCCCGGGCACCAGGCAGAAGGGATTGGGGATGCCTGTGGTTCACAGGAGTTGTCTGGGCACTCTACCTGCCTTTGGGGACACTGGGAACCATGAGAAGGTACAGCCTCTTCTCCTGCGGAGAGGGCCCCTGGTCTCATGGAAACTAAGAAGGAGGCACGCCCCCTCCATGACCCAGCTGGCTCAATGCCCAGGCAACCCTGTGAGAACTTTTGGGGGCCACTTTTGGACAACTGTGTACATTGCAGGACTTTTCTTTGAGCATCATGTATACAATGGCATGGGTGCACATGACAGCTGCAGAAGTTGTACTACACATTTTATTATCATCCATTCATTTTGGTTCCTTGACTTCTGAACATCCTTTCTGTACGTGGGAAATCACCCATGTGTAAATCTTGCTAGAAGGCAGGGCACCTTCTCCCACTAAGGAAACCTGAAAAGCCAGACACTTGCGTTTCTTTTCTCTTGGCACCTGGGGCATGGGCCATGTGACTTGGGTTCAGCTAATCAGATGCCCAGGACTTGAATCTTCAGCAACTGATACAAATGCACGGGGGGCAAGGGGGAGGCGGGAGTATTTTATTTACGCTAGCAACAGCAACGGTGGTACCTGTTATTCAGTGGCAATGGAAGCAGCCACAGCAGCGGGACATCCACTGTCTGGGCGCAGTGGTGGCAGCGACATCCCCACCAGATGTCATTGATTCCTGCCATGCATTCTGCCCTATTTCCCACCTGTGTTCTAACTCGGTTCTAGGAATCTCCCAAAATCCTCATTAAAAAGTTCCCCTTTTTGCTTATGCTAGTCTGAGTCAATGTCTGTTGCTTGCAACCCAGAAAGCCTGGCTGATCCTGAGGCATTCATCTCCAGCTCGTCTCTGGGCTCTGACAAGCTAAGCCACGAGGATTCTCTAGTTCTGAGATTCTTCTCCAGCTGTGCTCTAGCATTTCTACCTGGATGATACACACACTATGGCCGATTTGAATCATCGTCCTCCTCCCCAGATCACTTCCTCCCCATTCCTGAGCCAAAACCCTTGAGTCATCCCACTTCTGCCTCCTTCTCCCTTCCGATCCAAACATTTACTGATGGGAGTGACTGTTTGGATCCGAACTGTTTGGA